CTGAAACACTAAAGTTGTTAAAGAAACTGCCCTCTGTTGCTGCTCCTTCCAGAGACATTCCCATGCATCTATCCATGAGGTGTCTTCTAAGAACGACAGGCTTTCCAAGTTTCTATCCACAGGGTCGAGATCTTGATTGCTCTATATCATTGTATTTTGAGACACAATTTTTGGTTCTGGGGAGCAAGAGCTTGAGAGAGAGATAGCTTCAGAGTGTTGGGTGTGGGTGTTACAGTTACTCGTGGTTCTCATTTCCTAGATCCATTTTTTGAGAGAAGCCACTTATTCGTGCCCAATTAGTTCTTCAAGAGAGGGTCCAAGATTTTCTGGTAAATCTGACATTACTTGTGAATCCAAATGATCTTTTAGAGATGATTGATATCTAAATGGTCTTCCTCTTCTCCTCAAGCCAATAGCATGACTAATTATACCAAATCCGCCTATTGCCGTCGAGTATATTTGATATTGGCCTTCCTTGGGAAGTGGGCCAATGGAAGTATTAATTATTTCAAGATTTCCTTTTGCCTTGGGACTTGGGCTCGTGATAATTGGGCTCCGCTTCAATTGTTCCCGAGTTGAGGCATTGCCTGACTCGACTCTCTTCCTCTTGGATGACTCGGTGGACTCACTATGACTCGTTTTTTTGCTTTCTCTTTCACCTTGCAGTTGTTTCTCATTGGCGGTTGTGAGTGGTCCGTTAGTCGTTGTCGCTTCTCAGCTAACTCATCTTCTGAATCTTCCTCTGAGCTTTGATTCCCTCAACAGATTTGGAGATGCTTGCATGTCTCTCCATTGCCTTGGGATTTGCTTTGGGTTGGGAAGCTAAAAGGTTTTTCCGGTCTGTACTCCGCTCACAGCCACTCTTCCGGTTCATCTAGCTTCCTTTCATCGAGCTCCATTTGGATTACACTGAGAGGGACTGCTTTGGAGATGAGTTTTCATTTCTTCCAGCTGTGTCCAACGAGCCCGCAATAGAGACATAGCTTGGTGATATTTTCATAGGCAAACCTGATCCATATTGGATTATTGTTGTTTTTCAAAAAGAAGTCTCTTGATAATTGTTTCCTCAGGTCAACTTCTATATGGTATCGTACCATGTTTCCTCTGGTGGGCTTCCTTGGTTCAATTTCTGAATTATCTTCGAGGACTCTACCGGCTGCCGAAGCAAAAACTTTACAGTTGTGGTTGGATATGTAATGCCTTGGAATGTTAAACATTTGAATCCAGACCTTCTGATGCCACAACTTGATTTTTTCTCCAGTCAGTCCATCTTGCCATATCGCCACCAACATCTAGCTGCCTCTGATGAACCAAGGACCACCATTTAATACCTTCTACATGTCATCTTCTTCTTCGAAGATAAAAACCCAACCGCCACTGTCGTCATGACCAACTTCAACATGATGAGAGGGATGCCATGTATGTTTAATAAATGCATGAATATTTTCCAGGGTCACTTTAATATGTGGGAAAATTCTTCCCCTTACCATCTTCTTTACTACTTCAACCACTTCCTGGACAGACTCCACATTTATTTCTAGATGGGGACGAACCAATGTTGCATGCTTCTCAAGCTCTTGCCCCAGTTCCTTGACCTGTTGTGTAGAACCCAGAAAGTCAGCCTTGCCATTGACCTCTTCAGTGTCTGCTGTTGATTCAGCCATTCCCATAGAGAAAGTCTCTGGAATTTGCCGCAGTAGAGGGCTTGGAGATTTAGTGGGCAACCATTTAGGGTTGAGAGAGGGTTTCAGGGGTTTTTTGGGTCAGCACTTAGTGCGAGAGGTTAGGTTCAGCACATAGAGTGCGAGAGGTTTCCTGTTGCTTCCTATAGAGAATTGATGTAATGGGGAGGTGGTGCAAATTTTGCAACCAAAAATTTGCACTATCTATCACTCTTTGTAGTTTTAGTTTTGGTTTTTTGTGTTGAATTAGTTAATTTGGGAATCTTTTATAGTTGATGCAGGGGGTTATTATAGGAGAATTTGTGGTGTTTTGAAAGAAGAAATAGTGGCAACTCTGAAGGCCTAGTTTGGGAAAGGAGATCAAGGAAAGCAAACTATATAATACAGTGGAGTTACATTCATTAATGGCTTTTCCTGCTTAAATGGGAATTTGTTTATACTTCCCGACTATAAAGCCCAAAGCCCGAGCCCGAGCCCGACTAGAAATTTAGAAAAAAAAAGATTTTTCATTTTTAATTCAATTAAAAGTTTTTTTATTTATACTAAAATACCTCAAAACCTAAAAAGATAATGAAAATTCTCATTATTACTTGAAAAAAGAGAAGAAAATATATTATATATACGCTTTTTTATTATATAAAATATATTTTTATTAATATAATACATTATCAAGTCGGGCTCGGGCTCGGGTCGAACTTTTTTGAGAAAGCCTGAGCCCGGTCCGAAAAGTCGAGCCCAATATTTTAGGCCCGAGCCCGAGCCCGTAGGCCTAAAATCTTGTCCAAGCCCAACTTAGATCAGGCCGGGCCTGTCGGGCTACCTAGCCCATGAACAGGTCTACTCTATATTGGAACGATCAGGTTCTGGGCTCCTTCGAGAATGAGACGAATCACATCTAACAAGCTAAAAAATGAGAAAAATGAAGAAACATAAATTAATTGCCTGACTATTTTACTTGGAAATTTTTACAAGTTTGATAGTAAAAGGAAAAAAAGAGATATTTAATTGGAAATAAATCTCAAGAAATGGACGTGTTGGCATTTATGATAAGTGAAAAATTTTTATATGAGAAGATCAATAAAATGGTAGAACAAAATTCATGAAGCAATCCGGAACTGAAGGAAAAACAAAGGAAATTTTAGTTGAAAAGTAGAGGCCATTGGTAGAGGATTTTCATGAAAAAAATATATATTTTAAGTAGCAAAAAAGCAATACACCTTGCAAATTTCTCAACATGGAAAAATATATATTCAAATCTAAATAGAGGCTAATGATTTTTTTTTTATCTTAACTTGAAATGTAGCTCAAAATGCCTCACAATCTCGGCAACCTGAGTAAGAAGAACAGAGATAGTTCACAGGCTGAGATAGTTTTTTTTTTTTTTTAATCTTTGATGAGTGATCGCAACTCCACAGGCTGAGATAGTTCTCGCCTGAGCTCTTGAGCACTAACAGCGCGTTGCTAATGGTGGTAAAGATCAAGAGAGACCTCAGTGCCGGTTTTCCAAGGCAGAGGTTGGGACTCCAACTGTTAGATAATATGTCGACAAGTGTATGTTGATGGGAAAGGGAAAGATACAACATGTCGATAGGCGTACTTTAATAAAAACATATGCAAATTAATTTACAAAAGGGAAAAATAGGTATTTAGAAAGATTTTATCATCGGTATAACATTCTCCGTCATGATCATTGGTGGAAGAGAGGTTTTTGTCAAATTCTTTAAAAATAGCAAGGAGGTTTTTGCTAAAGTGAAACTATAGAGGAGGATTTTATGATTGTCAGAAAGGTGAGGGGAGGTTTTTGTATTGACTCACTTTGCATTGATGAACCGAAAAAAAAAAGTAAGGGTAAATTTCTTAAACTACCCTTATGGTTTAGCTAATTGACTAAGTGTACCCTTATTGTTTGAAATTTGACTAATACTACTCTTACTGTTTCTGACAATTGACTAACTATACCCCTATCATTAACATCCATTAATGCTCTGTTACGATCTCTGCACATGTAACCCCATGTGACATAAAATTTTTTCAAAACCCAATATTACCCTCGTCCCATGAACCCCCACTCTCTCTCTCTCCATTCTTAGACCACCTCTTCTGCCTCTGCTTCTCTCTCAAACCTCTCCCTCCGCCTCTAGTCTCTCTCTCCCCTTCTTTCTCTAGAAGAAGAAAAAGAAGTGGAGCAGGAGAAAGAGAGGAAGAGAGAGAATAGAGAGAAGAGATCAGAGAGAGAACTTGCAGTCGCCACCCCTATTTTCGTCATATTAAAAAGATGAGCAGTGCGGATTTGTACTGCAACTGCTCAACAGTTGTCGCCCGTCTTTGGTCTCAGCGTCCAACTAAAAATCGCTCTTATCATTATCATGTGCATGCTCCACCAATCACCGCTCCTGTCTTTGGTCTCAATGTTCGAATGAAAATTGCTCTTCTCGTATGCTCCCTCGTGTTCAGAGCTCTTCTCGTATGCTTCCTTGTGTTCATATGAGTTGCAGCGACAACGGTGATGATGCAACAGTAAAATGAGATAGAGGACGCGAAGGAGAGAAGAATGAGAAGAAAAAAAAAAAAGAAGAGGAAGTGTGAGAAAAGAAGAGAGATCAGAGAGAAAATTGCCATTGTTGTTCCTGGTTTGAGCAGAGGTCGACGATATTTTCGGATGATTTATTGGGATCTGAAGAAGAAGAAGAAAAAGAGAAATGGACAGAGAGAGAAATGGGAGAGAATGGGCGGAGGGGTGCCGCTAGCTCACCTTTGTTTTCGTTCGAAGAAGGGTTATCGCCGCCACCGCTGCAATGAGTTGCAACAGCGAATCTAAACATGGAGTGTCACTGCCTAGAGGAAGAAGAGAGAGAAAGAGAGGGGTTTCACAAGGGGTTGCCGCTGCCGTCGCTGACGCCCAGAGGAAGAAGATAGAGAAAGAGAGATGGGTTCAGAGGGGGTTGTCGCTGCTGCCGCCGCTGCCCCTATTCGGTTCACTCGTTCTCTACTTCTTCAACAAAGCACTCCATTGTTGAAGAAGAAAGAGGATGAAGGGTGTGACGGTTCAGTCGTTGGTTCTTAGTAACAATAGGGATAAAATAGTCTTTTTAATCTTTCTGTTTATGGGAGCTAACGGTAAGGAAAGTATTAGTCAATTGTTAGATATAGGGGTAATGTTAGTCAATTTTCAAATAATAAGGGTACACTTAATCAATTAGCTAAATATTAAGGGTAGTTCAAGAAATTTATAATTATAAGAGTGCATATTTGCATATTTGCATTTGCATCGCAACCAAACGCATCCTTATTCAAATACCCAATAAAACTCCTTAAACGATTCGCCAGCACCGCCTGAGTTGGTGCGACCGCTTTAGGGTTTCAGAATTTTATCCCTAATATGCTCCTCCACCTCTCTCTCTCATTCGTGTGACGGTGTGAGAAGCTCTAGTCATGGCGATGGCTTTAGATCGACCAGCTTCAGCGACGAATCAGAATCCCCCGCATTCGAACAAGATTCGATGGGGAGAGCTCGACGAGGACGACGGGGAGGATCTGGACTTCCTACTGCCGCCCCGTATGGTAATCGGTCCAGACGAGAACGGCGTCAAGAAGGTGATTGAGTACAAGTTTAACGACAAAGGAAACAAGGTCAAGATAACCACCACCACTCGGATTAGGAAACTCGCTAAGGCCAGGCTTAGTAAGAGTGCTGTCGAGAGGCGATCGTGGGCCAAGTTCGGCGATGCTGTTCATGAAGAAGTCGGTAGCAGGCTCACCATGGTTTCCACCGAGGAGATTCTCCTCGAGCGACCAAGGGCTCCTGGTTCGTTCTCCTTCTGCTTTTCGTCTCTCTCTCTCTCTGTTATTTCGTGTGTTTCGATTGGTTGCGTGTTAGAATTCTGAAGATGGAGCTTACAAATTGAATGTTTTATTAATGCAAGTATCCATTATCTGATGTCTTGAATCCTTCTGGATTTCGGCCTGCTCAAATTTTCTAAACAAAGGGATTTTGCAGGAAGCAAAGCAGAAGAAATAAAAGTTGCTGGAGACCCCTTGGCATCAATTGCAAAGGGAGGTGCTGTTCTCATGGTATGCAGGACATGCGGTAAAAAGGGTGACCACTGGACATCAAAGTGTCCTTACAAGGATCTTGCAGTACAGCCTGAAGGATTTATTGATAAGCCTTCTGCATCAGAAACCACGGTAGCTGCTGCCGGCACTGGTAAGTCGACGACCTATGTTCCTCCAACATTGAGAGGAGGTGGGGATAGAAGTGGTACGGACATGAAACGCAGAAACGAAGAGAACTCAGTTCGGGTCACCAATCTGTCGGAGGACACTCGCGAACCTGACTTGCTGGAGCTCTTCCGCACTTTTGGCCCCGTAAGCCGTGTTTATGTTGCTGTTGATCAGAAGACTGGTGTGAGCAGAGGATTTGGTTTTGTAAACTTTGTAAACAAGGAAGATGCTGAGAGGGCAATTAACAAGCTAAATGGTTATGGCTATGATAATCTCATCCTTAGAGTCGAGTGGGCGACACCAAGATCAAATTAAGAGTCTCGAACAGGCGTTAATTGCTGAAGAGTGAAGACCTTGTGGGGTCTTTTTTTTCCCTTCTTCTTCTTCCTTTTTTCTTTTTTTTTTTTTTGAGTTTTGAACACTGTATGGTTCCAAGCGTATGCTAGTTTTTGTCAAGGTTCTGTTGCTATTTAAGAAATATATTGAGATTGTTATTTCGAGCATCTGAACAATATAATATTTTATCTTCTATTATCAGGCCGATTGCATATTCACTAATTTGTTTTTTTTTCAGATGTTTATCCGGTTTACTTTCACTGATTGCTTTTGGGTTCTAGTTATGGTGATTGGAATACAGTAATGAAATTTAAATACCAATTTGCTTCGTAGTTATAGTTTTGAGGATGATTTACTGCTGGTTGGCAAGTCCCTATGACTCTGTAGGTATGATAGTGCATCTCTATGACCTAAATCAACTGGTTTTCACTTGATCTCTTCTACTCCAGGATATATTGGATTCCCTCTGCTCTAATTCACATGCCTGGATGAATGGAGGGCGTCCAGATATATATCAGTATTGACAGCTTGTGCTTCAATTGGTATCCTTGATGAAAAGCTGGGGTTTTCTGGTGAAGCTTCCTATGTGGGTCACGAACATGGATAATCGTTGAGGATGATAAAAAGTAGTTGATTCACATCATATATTGCAGAGTTATTTGCATCTAGACAATGTTCGCAGTGTTTTACCGCTGTAGCTGCAGAGCATCGGCAGCATATAAACAGGCACCCTCAAGAAGAAAGTCCTTATTTATCTATATCTATATTAGCAGATGAAAGTGTGTGGGGGGCAGGGGGGTCACTCACCACAGTGCTGATAGGAAGCTCTCTCACCAGAGACACTTGGATTGATGGATCAGCAAATGGTTTGGCTGATTCTCTTGCCAGGCAAGGGGTAATTAGGGATCAAATATTTTGGGGAGCAATGTAAAAGGATTTCTTTGCGCTAGTTACTGCTGGTAGCTGGCTGGACATCAGTTGTACATGACATTTTTTCATAATTAACAAAAGTTTCTTGTCATGCATCAAAAAAAAAAAAAATTGCCTCTCAATGTTTACACATCTGAGTTGTTTTGAATTAAAGTACCAAAATAACCTTAATTTTTGATGTGGGTATTACACTGTTTACTAAAATGGATCATTCCTCATAATTAGTACCAATGAAATTATGCAATTACCCATGGTAATTTAAAAGACTAGTTAACCACTAACGAAGTTTTGATCTTTCATCAACTCATTTGAAGTGGAGTGCCTGAAATAGGGTTTCCTCCTGTCATCCCTTCCTATCGGTTGCTTCTAAGAAGTATTACAAGCCTTTCAGTACCTCCCTTCTCGCTCTTTTATAATGTCCCTCTCCTCTCTTTAATAATTTCTGGTGGCAGAACATACTAGCTTCTCTGCTATTCTTCTTATAATGAAATAATACCAACCCTAGCTCAGAATCATAGGCGTTTGCCCTCAATGTAGTAGATCTCATATGGAAGACTACCCCTTTAAAGCTGACAGTTTTGGAGGCTATGGAGTTGGCTGTGCTGCAGGCTATAGAGCTAGTGTTGGTTGCCATGGATGTGTTGTTAGCAGAGGCTATGGGGTTAGTGGTGGTGGATGAAGCTAGTGATGGTGACGCTGGGGGTTACAGAGGTAGCAGTGGCAACAGTCTGGATTATGGAGGCTGCACCAAAGAGAAGGCCCTATGCTTCAGAATTCCTTGGCAATAATATGAGTGCATTGGCTGAAACCCTTTAGATTAGAAAGAGAGAAGCTGTCAACCTGTTCATGTCCATCCCTTAAATCTCTTTTGAAGTTGGGTATTTCTTATTGATGAATAAGGTTTTGTTTTGAGATGAAACACTATTCTGGTTTGAGCCTCAATATATAATGTTCCTCCCCTAAATTCAACTGCGCTCACAGTGTATTGCATGTTAACCAAATTTTACATTTATGGTTTTCATTTTTTTTTTTTGTTCTTTTGTTTTGTAGAGTTAAGAGTTGTTGTTAATGGTGCAGATCTGTTTCCTCAACTCTTTCTGTATGTGTATCGGTTCTTTTTTTGGTACAGGTATATGTAATAGTTCTTTTTTTTATTAGTAACACAGAAATTTACCATTGAAGGGTGTAATGCGAGTCATTTAGTTGGAATGAAACATAGAAAGTTGGTTTCTGAAGAACTACTTTAGATTCCTGCGGGACAGTTTTTTATGTTTCTTGGACATAATGGTTGTGCAAAAGCTACACCGCCAAAAAAGGTCAAATTTTCACTTTCTTAAGTGTTTCATTGTCCATTGAGCAACTATACTAGAAGATTATGCAGTCAGGTTCAAAATCTGAACTACCAAAAGTTCAGTCTAGGCCTGCAGGAATTCATTACGCACCATTTACACCTACACTACCAAATTCGGTGTTTTCTTTGATCTGTTTATTATTATATGCCTCGATATCATAAAAAAATGTTGATGTAGGCCTAGAAATGCTAGTCATGGGTCTATACAGTTGGATATGACCTCATTTTTTTTTTTTTGATGAATGAATATAATTTATTAATTCAGAAGAAGGCAGTACAGGGAACTCAAAAGAGGCACGAGCTGTTACCTCTTCAGGGTAGTATTACATCAAAATAAAAAACAGAATTAGCCATAAACAGAACTCATTAGGGACTACTGTTCTTCAAGTCCCTGCATAAACTGTTTTTACATTAATATACAGCTTGACACAATACATGTTTGTTTCATAAATGTGTGCCTTCAGTGGAATTTTATCCCTACACTTTGGGATGGTTTAATCAATCCTGTTTGGTCATCCCATTTATTTAGGGTCACATCTTCTTAAACACTGTCAAGTTCATTTCCTGCTACATAGATCCACAATCCCTAGTGTCAGCATTTTAGTTCTGGAGAACACCCTTAAAACATTGTCAAGATCCATGCCAAAGAATTTTAGAAGTTTCTATAAGCCCAAGTTGGCAACCAAGTTGAAGTTACTTGCACTCTTTCTGTATCTAGATTTAAGTGTTTCAAATCTATGAAAAATTACCTATAATAAATATCTGCATGAGATTCATAGTGATAAAAAAGAACCTGTAGTTCTACGTACAAACAGAAGTTAATCCACCTATACAATCCTTTGTCAGGTTAAGCAACTCAGTCCAAAAGGGGTAGCTGATTCACTTTATCTTTCCAGAGGATATATGGTGATTTTTGGGACTTCCACCACATGAGCATTACCTAGGTTTTAGGATTTTGACTTGGTCCACCACAGTGACTATACAGCTTTCAACTATAGTATGAATCACGTTGAGAATTTGAACACATGTACCCAATTACCCTGCCTTACATTTGATACTCTCTGAATCACAATGACCTTCAGTTTGAACCAATGAACCTTACCTAGTATGAACCATGTTGGGAACCAATTTCTTATCACCTTCAGTTTTTTATATGATGATCCTGCTAGCACACCAACTTGTAATAATTTCATCCATTGTGTATTTTGAAAATAAACCAATAGCCTTCACCTATTGTGCCACCCTCAGTGTACATTCTTATTAATTAAAAATCATGAATTTCTTCAATTAATAAATTTAATTTATCCAAGGATTACCATCTAATATTTTTTTACTGATTTCCTGATTTGTCTATCTACTTCTTTCTAGCCAATTATGTCCTACTTTGTTTTTTAATTGCAGCAAATTTTCATTACTACTCAACTCAATTCTTTTTGTTTAATTATAATACTAGCGGAAGGTAGACCTGTTCATGGGCCGGGCCAGGCCGGGCTCGGGCCGGGTTTTCACTCTGTATTAACAGAATTTTCTAAGGCCCGAGCCCGAGCCCGGCCTGACCATCGGGCCTACAACTCGGGGCCGAGCCCAGCCCTCATAAAAATCCTGAAGCTTGGGCCTGGGCCCGAGCCCGAAATTTAGCCCATATTGTGAGCGGCTGAATAGAGAGAGAGAGAGAGAGAGAGAGAGAGAGAGAGAGAGAGAGAGATTATAAAGAAAAGAATAAAAAATGTATATATTAAATTATAAATATATATTTTAATAAATATTATATTATTTATATATTTTATATAATATATAAAATACATATTATATATTTTATAAAATATATAATGCTGAGTCAGGCCAGGCCAAGCTTTTTAGACAAATCCCGAGCCCGGCACAAAACATAGTCGGGCTTACTATGTTAGGCCCGAGGTCAGGCCCGCAGGCCTAATTACATGACCAAGCCCGACTGGGGTGCGGGCCGGGCCGGGCCGAGCCATCGGGTTACCTGGACCATGAACAGGTCTAGCGAAAGGAGCCCTGCGTTATAGGGGCTTGCTCATAAACTATCAGGCTCGAGCTCGATTTGAATTAGAGACCTGAGCTTGAGCTCGAACTTAACTCGAGTCAAAAGTTCGGAAGTTCAAGCTCAGCTACCTTTGATTGCAGGCCTCTTAAGTAGCTGAGGTCTCCCTCAATTGCCGAGGTGCTAAATCGAGGTCTCCCTCAGCTGCTAAAGTGTCGAGCTCAGGTTTCCCTAGCAAGCGAGGTGTCAAGCTAAGGTCTCCCTTAGTTGACAATGTGTCGAGATGAGGTCTCCCTCAGTTGTCGAGGTGTTGAGTCGAGATCTCCCTCAATGACCGAGGTGCCGAGCCGAGGTTTCCCTCAGTGGTCAAGGTGTCGTCTAGCTCGAGCTCGATTCGAATTAGAGTCTTGAGCTTGAGCTTAGAAGTTCGATCTCGGCTTGACTCAAACTCGATTACCTTTTATTGTAGGTCCTCTAGCAACCAAGATGCCGAGCTAAGGTCTCCCTCAGTTGGAGAGAGAGGTGGCAGGAGAGAGAGAGAGAGAGAGAGAGTGGCATTCTTGTAATTTGAAAGAGAAAAGGCAAGAGAGAGAGAGAGTTGATAGGAGAGAGTGGCATTCTTGTAATTTGAAAGAAAAAAAAAACAAAAGAGAGAGTTGGTAAGAGAGTGGCATTCTTATAATTTAAATGAAAAAAGGCAAAAAATACTATTAGATTCCATTTCCCTCATCCTCATGCCTTCTTACGTACACATTTCAGTTTAATATATTTACTAGGGAAGGGGACCTTGCGTTGTAGGGCTCGCTCATAAACTATCAGGCTCGAGCTTGATTCGAATTAGAGACTTGAGCTCGAGCTCAAGCTCGGCTATTGCAAGTCTCTCAAGTAGCCGAGGTGCCGAGCTGAGGT